GAAACAGGGTGTAAAGAGTTAGTCACTCTTGGACTAGGACATGGGATTCTGTAACCAAATAGTTGCCCAATGCAGCTATAGGCTTTTGAGGAAGATTAGCAAGGTGCTCTAAGCACAGTCACTCTGAATTTTGTAGAGTGACCCTCTGGCCTCAGCAGTTTATCAGCAGTGAGGGCTCACTTAGCATTGGATGGAGGTGGGCTCCAGGCTGAGACCTCCGGGTGCCCTCTGCACAGCCATGGACCTTACTTCCAGCCTCTGGCTCTCCACGTGTCTCCCTTCCCTCGCCAGCCTGTATTAATTTGTTAGCGCTGCCATAACAAAGTACTGCAGATGGGTGGCTTAAACACAGACGTTTATTGTGGTTAGATGTCCAAGATCAAGGTGACGGTGGGCGAGGGCTTTCAGTGAAGGATCTGTCCCAAGTCTCTCCTTGGCTTGTAGATGACCATCTTCTCCCTGTGTCTTTTCACACTGTCTTTCCTCCACGTGTGCTTCTGAATCCAGATTCTCCGCCAGTCATATGGGCGCGGGACCCACCCTAGCAACTCGTCTTAACTAGTTACGTTTGCAGTGACCCTGTTTCCAAGTAAGGTGACATTCTGAGATATGGGGGGTTAGCTCTTTAACATAGGACTTTAATGCAATTCAACCCGTACACAGTCTATGAAAAGAAACCATCCAAAACAGATAAGTCAAAGTGGGCAGGACTTCTAGGAGATGGGATTTAGATGCACTTAAGTAGTCAGCCTGGGCTCCCTGAGGGGTTAGAGTAGAGTAAGGACTGAAAGGTAGGAGGGAGTTGGCCTGGTGTGTGTCTAGGTGGGGGGCGGTCGAGCGTCCAGGCAGAGGGGTCTGCGCCAGCCAAGGTGGATTCGAGGCACGTCAGGAGGCCTCTGTGGCCGGGCAGAGCGAGCAAAGGAGGTTGTCGTAGGAGACGAGGTCAGAGAGGTGATGGGAGATGGGCCGTGTTGGTCCTCGTTGGATGTGGCTTTACCTGGGTGCATTAGAGAAGGGATTTGCACTGAGGTGCTTGAGAAGTCTCGCTCTGGTTACAGGCTTAAGAATAAACTGTAGAGGGGTGAGGGCAAAAGCAGGGGACCAGTTCAGAGGCCACTGCGGCATTTCAGAGGAGGGTGTCCATGGCTTGGGCCAGCATGGCAGCAGCAGAGGTGCTCCTCTGGTTGGACCTTTCTTCCTCAGAACTGTGTCTCACCCTGAGTCACTGAACCCAAATTGTCTGGCTGATATGCTTCCCTATAAATGTCTCGTTCTGGCCCTCGGCCAAGTCTTGGCTTGTACTATTTCGATTAGTTACTATGACTGACTTCATTTCCACTTGCCTTCTAATGATTGCTGGAAAGCAATCTGCCCCTCCCCATATCGAATGTTTTATTATTGATATTTTTGACATCCATGGGAGTGTTTTTCTTGTGATATTGCAGGAGGATTTATGGGAGCCCCTTTGCACACCTAACCTGAAGCTAAGGCATTTGAGAGCTTCTGTACTAACCCAATGGCCCCATAATCATTTTTTAAAAACTCAAAGACATTCTCACATACAGCTTTCCTATAGCCACCTGTGTAGTCTTTAGCGCCTACACTATAAGACAAGAATATTTACACTCTATGGTTGGAGGGGCTCTCAGTCTCCCACTTGGGTGGGTTGAAAATGAAACCATCTATTAGTCTGAAGCAAACAGAAGAGCCATCTTGTCTCATGTCATCCGGTGGCTGCCACACAGTGTATACTTTTCTTTGGACCCTGGAGCACCAGTGTGTAGAATCTTAATAACACATGTGATTAACCGTACTATTGAAAATGGAAAATCCCACATGTATTAGCTTGCTAGGGCTGCCATGACGAAGTACCACAGACTGTGGAGCTTAAACACAGTTCTGGAGGCTGGAAGTCCAAGATCAAAGCGTGGGCAGCATTGGCTCCTTCCGAGGCCGTGAGGGAAGGATCGGCTCCAGGCGTCTCTCTTTGGCTCGTAAATGACCGTCTTCTCCACGTGGCTCTATGTGTGAGGCTGGGAAAGCCTATTTATAAGATGCTATTATTCTTATTATTTTAAATTAGTTGATTTTTTTATTGAAGTATAGCTGATTTACAGTGTTGTGTTAGTTTCAGGTATACAGCAAAGCGATTCAGTTATACATATATATCAATACATTCTGTTTCAAACTCTTTTCCCATATAGGTTATTACAAGATACTGAGTAGAGTTCCCTGTGCCATACAGTAGGTTCTTGCAGTTTATCTATTTTATATATAGTCGTGTTTATGTGTTAATCCCAAATTGCTAATTTATCCCTCTCCCCCAACTTTCCCCTTTGGTAACCATAAGTTTGTTTTCTAAGTCTGTGAGTCTGTTGTTGGTTTGTAAATAAGTTCATTTGTATCTTTTTTTTTTTTTTTTTAGATCCCACATTAAAAAAAAGATACTATTAAATATAGGATCAATTTTGTGGAAAACCGCTTATTGAGAAGGTGCTAGTTGAACGAACTCCCATGAGCCTGACAAAGGCTGTGCGTCTCTGCCCAAGTCTGGAGGCCTGACAGCACCAGCACAGAGTGGTGCTGTCGCTAGAAGCAATAGGGGCCCATCTCGGGTATCCTTTGCCCGTCTCTCCCCAGCAGTTCCAGCGTCTTGGTCAGCTCCCCGCTCTAGACGTTAGCCTGCCCTTCAGACCTACCTCCCTTCAAAAGACCCAATCTCCATGCAGCCAGTGTCTAGAATTCTCCGGGCGGGATCCCACTGTTCCCATCGATCACATTTTGTCATACTGCGACTCCTGGATTCAGAAAAATCTGCTGCCACATGCCCTGCGGTTTGTCATCTGGGCTGACCTCAGCTTCCCTGGGACACCCTCCTCTGCTGAATGTAGGTCTAAAGCGGGGATGACTTTGCTTAGAATGTACCTGCACCAGTTTCAGGGCATTTGCAAATGAAATGAGCTTGCCTGTGCTCAGAAATCACAGATTGGTGGAGGTGATGACATTCAAAACCAGTTCTTAGAGTTGGAGAAATCGGCAGCAATCAGTAAATTGGCAACCTAGCTCCGACACTTTGCAACCCCTGCATAGGAGCTTTTCCTGACACCCCCCAAGACCCCAGAAAACCTGACCTTCCCCTTTTGCAGCTCACAGGGTAACTAAGTGACCACTTCCCTTCTGGTACCTGTAACTTTTTTTTTTGAAGGGGGGCTCCCATCTAGCAGCATTGAGGAGTTGAGGGCAAGAGCCTTGTCTTCATGCTCCAAGTTTCTAACTTACAAGGTGCCGTATAGATAAGGGGAGAGTTAATGTGTTTGTGAAGGAATGGATGAGTGCAGAGCCCTAGATCAGATGCCCTCACTGCTTTTCCTTTCCTTGTTGACTTCTGTCCTCTGTGCAGCCCTTAGACCTCACAAATTTTGCTCAAGGTGCCTGCCTGGTTTGTCGCACTCAGTGTTTCTTCCTCTGAATCCCTTCTCACATTGTTGCTTGGAACAACATTGCCATTAATTTTGTCTTAATTATTGACACATGAGCCAGTCTGTGTGTGTGCCTGGGAAAGCCTTTTTATAAGATACTATCATTATTATTTTTTAAATTAATTTACTTTTAAAATTGAAGTATAGTTGATTTACAGTGTGTTCGTTTCAGGTGTACAGCATTTCGCTGATCAAAATGCCATTACTTTTCCAGAACAAACCCCCGTTTCTTTCCTATTGCTCTCCCGCTCAGAAATGGTATGGCTTCCCATTGGCTGTGGGCTAAAGCTCAGAACTCCTTAGCCTGGCATGCAATACTGACGATGGATAGTCCTTTGTATTCCTTTAAAAATTATCTGAGTTGTAAATATCCCAAACACTTTGAAAAATATGACAGATACTCATTTACCTACCATGGAGATTAAACAAATACTAGCATTTTCCCCACTTATTTTCCTAAATAAATAAATAAACAAACATCACAGATGCAGGTAGACCTCCTGTTCCTGTCCCTGCCCCCATCCCTCCCCTTTTTACCTTTATCTCTCGCAATTCACCCTTGTGAACCTCTGGCCAGTTGGATTCCTCTTCCTGAAATTTCCCTCTCCCTCCTTTACCTTTGAGGCCCCAGTTCACTTTCCACCTCTTCCAGGGAGCTTTCCCGTCGATCCCCTAGTTTTCTAAATCGCTACACAAGTTATTGTCCTGTTGCTCACTTGGGGACTATATACCGCCTGTGACAGTTCTAATGTAGCAGTTTGATTCTAGTATTGGGTCTCTGTTCCCCTTATCGTAACTTTTCCGTCTAGCTCATGTTATAGATGATCGCGTATACTTCTTCTCCTTTAGAGAACAGCGCTGGGAATAAAGTCTGAGTGTTAGTTTCATTCATTCATTTGTTCATTCGTTCACTCCGCGGATGTTGACTGAGCGCCCATCTGTAAGCTCCAGGAATTATTTTAAGCACTGAGGATACAGGAGCGGACACAAGGGGATGTGGGTAGTTGCTGCAATTGTGGAGCTCTTATTCAAAGGGGGGAAGAGAGAAATTCCATGAGTAAATAAATATGTTAAGATGCATAGTGCTAAGGAGAAAAAAGAAGCAGGGGAAAACATATTGGTTGAATTGCACAGTAAACCCAAATAGATAATCCTGGATTACCTGCCTGTGAAACAGTACCCTGCGTAGACCATCCTTCTTGGAAGGTAGTTGTAGGAATGGAATTTAATCCTTTGCTGCTAGGAGCACGTCTGGGTTGTTCATTCTGTCAGTAGAAGTGCGCTATAGAAACGATAACAGATTTTAATACCAGCCTAAGTAGAGAATAATTAGGGCGGGAAAAATCTGCTTCTTAGTAACCTATTATTTACAGTCAAATGGAACCAATTTGGCATTGTCTTTGCTACGGTACTTCTTCAGCCATTAGGCTGATGCAAGGTTCACTGTTTCTCAGTGTTCCTACATGGGGTGGGACTGAACTGTTACCAAGAAGACCAATGTCCTCTTTCTAATTCTTCTAGCCTCCAGGAAAGGATAAAATCCCTCAACTTGTCACTTAAGGAGATCACTGCTAAGGTAAGTACCTTTCCATGCCCACTTTCTAAAGAAGTCTCTGAAGTTTCCTTTTGACTTAATTTCATGTCACAGAACACCTGCGCTCTGGACAAAATAACAGACTTGGCAAAGCCATTCTGCAGGCCCAAGCGATGAGCCAGCCAAGAGAGCCAGGGCCGAGGGCTGCTCCCATGGTGGAGGGCCTGACTGTGGTCCCTAGGGACTGACGGCTTTGGCCTTTGCTTCAGCAGGAGCTGCAGTGTTGGGGAAGGAATCTTCCGATGATTGCTGCTGTGCAGTCGAGTGCCTTTGCTTGAAAGGCTTCCAGGATGGGAGTGAACTGAGCAGTTAATTACATTTCCTTCGGGAAGGGCAGGGTTCAGGTTGCTCACAAACAGACGGGAAGTGGTATAGTAGATGATTATCTTTTGTTTTTCAAAGTTAAATGGACTTCAAAATCATTTTGCCTATTTTATCTGCTATCTGTACTTCATTTCAGACCTTGGTTTGCGTAGTGATAGAGGCCTCCTTCGTTGTTATTCCCTGGGAGCACGTGGTCAATTCACTTAAGTAGTCTGTGTCTGGTTAGTTAGGAAAACCACAGTTTGCAAAACAAAACCCTTCCTTGCAGAGATACTTAGACCCCACCTGACTTATTGCCAAACCGTGAAGTAGGATCAATTACCCTGTAACTTATTGGTAGAGGTGAGGCTGAGAGCTAGGTCTTAATCATTAACGATTTGTGTTAGGTTTGGGAACCAGGGCGGTTATAAGATAGTTGAAATATGAAAAGAACAGGTTTCTGAGCGGAGAGCAAAGCAGACAAGAGTCTGCTGGCCTGGAAGGAAGCTTTTCTTGTTCTCGGTTCCCCGGGGAACAGAGCAGGAAGACCTTCTGGGGTCTTGGAAACCCTAGCTGAGCCGAGATGGGGGATGTGTTGTTGGCAAAAATGTCCACAGCGGCTCTGGTCCTTTTCCCAGTGTTTGTGTCTAATTCGTTTCTGAAAAAAACATTAAATGATTTTGCTGAAAATCACACAGCAGCAGTTTGATGGGCAGTTCTGCCCTGCACGGAAGGAGAGCTTCCTGTGAGGACTGTCTTGCCGGTTAGTTGGACGGCGTTGGGCCCTGGAACCACGGAATGCTTGAAGCCTGCCCTGCCTTCCTGGAGAACCAGAGAACCGCCCAGGGGTGCTTACCCAGAGAGGAAGGGCAGGACGAGACTCAAGGCCGTGCGGGGACCTGAATCCGCAGGCAGAACTCGGGAAAGGGCTTTATCTCAGGCTCCCAGGCTGAGCGCGGCTGAGACCTTGCCCCCTGCCCAGCTGCAGATCAAGGACGACTGGCTTGGTTCACCAGTTTTGTTTAAACTTTTTTTTTTTTTAATTTATTTTATTTTTGGCTGTGTTGGGTCTTCATTGTTGCGTGCGGGCTTTCTCTAGTTGCAGTGAGCGGGGGCTACTCTTCGTTGCAGTGCGCGGGCTTCTCATTGCGGTGCCTTCTCTTGTTGCGGAGCACGGGCTCTAGGCGTGTGGGCTTCAGTAGTTGTGGCACGCGGGCTCAGTAGTTGTGGCTCGTGGGCTCTCCAGCGCAGGCTCAGTAGTTGTGGCACGTGGGCTTAGTTGCTCCGCGGCATGTGGGATCTTCCTGGACCGGGGCTCGAACCCGTGTCCCCTGCGTCGGCAGGCGGATTCTTAACCACTGCGCCACCAGGGAAGCCCCACCAGTTTTATTATACGAGGCAGGAGGGGATGCTGGAGAGCAGGCCTGAATTTCTGCCTTATAAGTGACGGTGATGTCGCCCACTGGCATTCGTGCCCTAGCTGCCACTGTGACCTCGAGGTGGAGCCAGTGGGGAGGTGAGGCGAGACCAAAGCTTCCGGGATGGGGGCGGTGGTGGAAGTGTCCTCCTGAATTTCCTACTGTAAACTGTGCCATTTATCAGGTGTGTCCTAATTTCTGTGTAGTATTCATATGCGGAAGGACTCTTGGGTTTGGGTTTACTGAGCATCAGACCCTACTGTGTGTGTGTAACACAAATGAGTCTCTATCCCAGCAGTGAGGGTGCAGGTGTGCATAATATGTAACACAGATGGTGTTTATCTGTGTGTGCTTTCTATGACATTTTGTATTGTGTACACACACCCGTAGGCATATGCACACGACCTTGGGATTTGTTGATCATCTCCAGCTACGGTGGCTCAGATGCCAGAAGTGGTTTGTTTCGTTTGCACCCTTTCGCTAATACGTTTACAAAAACTTACAATTCCCTTGCTTTTCCATAAAATTAAGGAATGCATGCCTAAGATTTTAAAGTGTAAACTTAAAAGCTCCATTTCATAATGAGTTCCTCAGGATCCAATTTAATTTGGAATTAGAAAGGAGATGCAGATTTTCTGGGGCACACGTGCGCGTGCGCGTGTGTGTATATAGGTGGGTGTGTACACGTGCACATACATGAATGCGTGTGTGTATGGGGGGGGACATATGTTAGTCTACAGAGAATTAGAACAAAACTGCCCAGTCACACGCAACAACTTTCTCTCCCCTCTGGGCTGGTGACCTTGAGGTAAAAGTCGCAGTTTGGCCCAGTTTTCTTTCTTCAGTGAATTAGACACAGTAATCTGATATTCTTTCAAATCCTTCCTCAAAGAGAGCTGGCACCTGCCTTCCACTCATTACATTTTTTCAACTCTTACGGGTTCCCCAAACCAAAGGTAATTAGGGGATAAATGAGATGGAAGAAAGCACTGGAAATAAATGGGGTATCCGGAGGTTGGTAGATATTAGATTACATCCAGCCGTGCCTGAAAGAATGTACATTGCAATTTAATAAGAAGATTTAGAGGTGGTTTCATATTAATAGTGACAGATTGCTCAACAAAAGAGAAATGGACCCAGTTATGATTAAGAGAGACTGCGAGCTGAAACCAGAAATACTGGATGTACTTGGATGAGGCACAACAATTGTGGCTGGTGTTACGGAGTTGACAGAAATGTCCTGGGACTTCTGGTGACAGGCTTAGACCAATGGGAGGGGCCGTGCCCGTCCCTGGCCTTGAGCCCGTGAGACTTGGTGCCGGGGCGGGTGTCCTGACACACCCTGACAAACCTCAGGACTGTTGAGAGGGGGTCTCCAGATGAATGGCTTTGGATGATGGTTGCCCAGCTCTCCTGGTACGAGCTTTGGGGTAGAGGCCTCCACGCCGTCTCCTTCACACAGAAAGTAAGTTTTATAAAGAGATGGGGGAAATTACAGCTGCTTAATGGAAAAGAACATGTTGAAGGCCATGGGGGAAATGGTGTCACATTTTAGGCAGGGTGGGTGAGGTCTGCGTTGATTCTAGAAACAATCTCCATTTCAGTCTGCGGTACACAAAGCATTTCAAGTTGATGGTATCTAGCAAGATCTGGAAACTTCTGGGGAGATTACGTTTTACATTTTCTCTGGGCTCTGTGAACCCAACTGGGTTAATTTTAGTGTCGGAATGGAATTTAAGGTTGTTAGCAAGAAAAGAGGGATGCTTCTAGGTAACATCCTTTGTGGGCTCCCCCAAAATGTCTCCACATATGTGTTCATTGTTATTCAACTGTGCTCTGTGCTTTTGTTGCACTGGAGATTTTTTTTAGGTAGCTCATTAACCTCAGTATAGATAGCAATTGAATATGAGGTTTCTGCTTTAAATAAAAGAAAAAAATTGTGATAGTTTAACTTCGAACAAATACAAAATGACCTAAGACATCTGGAAAAAGAAACTGAGATTCAAGATTTTTTTTTTTTTTAAAAAACAAGAAACATGTAGGAAGTGAAATGATAAAACCTGTAAACCTCCTTGAGATCTACTTGTCTCTTTTTGCAAATCTGACGTCCCAGCAAGTATCTGCCCTCGAGTATCAGACAACGTCGACTAGGAACGCTCTGCCCTTGATTGTAACATCTGTGTACCATTTTTGCCTGTCTACTACGTGCTAGACACAGATCAAAATCCCTGCTCCCATAGCACGTATCCTACCCAGAAAGGCAATAAAAAAACAAGGGAAGAAAGACAGTGTGTCAGCTGGAGAGAGCGCTATGGATAAACATCCAGCAGGGGACAGGTGGAAGGGGAGGGAGGGCCGAGGGCTTGCTGTTTTTTTGTGGGTAGCCAGCAAGGCCCTTCTTCCCAGGGCAGAGCCCTGAGGGCTGTGAGTGAACTGAGTCACCAGGGACAAGCTGAGCCACTCAGAAGGAAGGAGTAAGAATGCAGAGGCCCTGGGAGGGAGCAGGCAGGGGGCTTGAGTTATTTTAGTTTGTGGTTGTGCTCTGTTGTGTGAGTGCATCTCAGTTTTGTGTTCAGGTGTGTGAGAGCTGTAGGATCTATGCTGGGAATATGCCAGTGCCTGCTTTATTTAGCCCTTCCTCCCTCCCTTCCCTTCTTCCATCCTTCCTTCCTTCCTTTATGCATTGCTTGCTTTTTAAGAACTCTCCTGCGGTTACTCTTTTTTTAAAATATAAATTTATTTATTTATTTATTTATGGCTGTGTTGGGTCTTCGTTGCTGCGGGCGGGCTTTCTCTAGTTGTGGCGAGCGGGGGCTACTCTTCGTTGTGGCGCGCGGGCTTCTCATTGCGGTGGCTTCTCTTGTTGTGGAGCACGGGCTCTAGGTGCATGGGCTTCAGTAGTTGTGGCATGTGGGCTCAGTAGTTGTGGCTTGTGGGCTTCGTTGCTCCGTGGCATGTGGGATCTTCCCGGACCAGGGCTCGAACCCGTGTCCCCTGCATTGGCAGGCGGATTCTTAACCACTGTGCCACCAGGGAGGTCCCCAGTTACTCTTTATCACTCCCTTTATTACTTATAAACTCAGGAATCTGTCTGGCGCTCTGTTGCCCTCTGACTTTTACGTAAATACATGATGACTCATGGCTGTCTCTCTCCCTCTAGGTGTGTATGAGCGAAAGACTCTGCAGTGCCCTGAGGAAGAAAGTTAACGATATTGAAACCCAACTGCCGGCGTTGCTTGAAGCCAAAGTGCTTGCCATCTCAGGTACCTGGGGGCAGAGGGACCATGGGAGGCAGTTGGAGCGAGTGATGACAACTGCCGCGTCCGTATCTTGTCTTGGATTAACATTCTACCTGTAACTGATGTCATACTCAACAGCTCAGAGCCTTTCTGGGGAGTTTCACTACAACCCATGGGCTAGATGGGCAGCGTGCTGTTCCCTATAAGGGAGGGATAAGACTCTTAAAAATACACATGCACACATCATATAAAATAGTTATTCGTGTAGGTGCCGTAGTCTGGACTTGCAGTTCCTGTTGCTTTAAGAGTTTAGAGACTAGATACTCTGGATGCCATACAATTCTAGCCGATGTTTCTACAGCTTCATGTGTATCTGGAGAAGCTCAGTGAGGGTTATCGGGTGTGATCAGCCCCTTCCTCTGCGGAAGGAGTGGTAAGAGGAGATAAACTGAGGTACTCAGCGTAACAATCTAGTCATAGATTATAGATTTTTGGAGGGTACTCAGTGGATTATTCTCCTTCCTTAAGCCGGTAGTTACTAAGGGATATCTTTTCCCATTAATCGGTCGGCTGAAGACACAAGCCTCTGAAAATAGGATCTTACTCCATCACCTGAACAGTGTCTTTGAACATTCCTCTGCATTGGTTATTTTATTTTATTTTCACATCAGCTCTATCAAGTAGGAGGGAGAGATCCTGCAATGCTGAGGAACAGAGGGGGAGATTGAGGCCCTGGGGTGTGTCCTCTGGTGAAGTTCACTCCATCAGCTAAGTGGTGATAGATTGGAGGCTGGAGTCCAGGTGTGAGAGATGGATTCTTAGCCCAGTTATGTAATGACAGCCTCCAAGGATTCTGAGTTGTACAGGTTGAATGAATCCACAGCCCATCAGCTTCGGAAGAATCATAAAGATTTAATGAAAAGGTATAATAATTACATGTGTGGGTTTTAAATGGCATTTTAAGAAGGCATACAATAATCGGCAGCTTCTGCTTTTCAGATCATTAAACAACTGATGTTGGCAGCTAACGAGCAGTTTGGTGCCCGGCGCAGTCACGCGTGTTATTTACAACCCGCAGAACACGCGCATGTGAATGTGGGACTTGGCTGTTAACAGCTTCACATGCCATGTACTTGGAATTACAGCCCCACTTGCTAAGAAGGAAAAAGAAGACTGAACACAGTCTTGCTTCTGAGTTAGGGTTTTTGCCTTTCTTAATCAATGTATCTTTCCCGGGAATACAGGTGGATGTGTCTGTATGAAGCCCAAGGGCGGAGATGCATCATTGGAGCAGAAGGGGAACCCGCTCTCAAATGTGAATGATTTCCTGTTAGGATCCCAGGGAAAATTCTTGACATGGTATCTTGCATACGGGGCCTGGGTTTTCTGTGTAGCTCTTAGATCAGCTGGGAAATTGGTGAGGCCTAATCGGATGAGGGAGTTAACTGGGGTGGGAACTCACCTCCCGACCCCCCTATTTCCTGGTCACTCTTGAGCCCCTTGGAGAACAGGACTTTCAGTCAACGGGCTGCCCCATGGGTTGGGCTAGCGGCAGGCTGATCGTCATTAACTTCCACATATAATGCGATTTCTGTTTCCTTTTGAGCTATGCTCCACAGCAGGGAAGACCCGAGGAGGGAAAAGGTACCTCCCTTAGGGTGCTGGTGGTGCCGATGTTTTGGACCCTCACTCCACTAGACAAAAGCCACAACCACAAACCTCTCCAAGTGAGGCCTATTTTGGGTTCTCTGTGTAGATGCTGGGACAATGCTGTTGAGATTCCCAGAAGCCCTATTGAATGGAGAGGATCTAATGGGATACCCTTAGGTTCTCAGAGGGCCTTTCATCTGTCTGAGAGTTTCTAGATCTCCCATCCTGGACTTGATCTATGGACTGAGGTCTTTTCTTCATTTGAGAGTCATCTGCTCTCTGCAGAGATGGGGAATAAGAAACAGTTTTGCTTTAAAACTTTATTTTTATTTTAAATATGAAGTCCTGGCTCCTTTATATTTAAATGTATGTGCTTTAACTCATCTCTCTTTTCTTGCACCTGATCACAGGCAGTGACCAGAAGCCAGTGGGCACTTCTGTATCCTGCCTGGAAATCTCTTTGGCCGTGTGGTTAACTTCACTAGGAATTGTTTTCTATGTTGCCTCGCTGATAATGTTACCAGACTTTCTGTCACTATATTATAGGGGTCCCTTTTCCTCTGGCTTCCAGTAATACTTTCCTTACTTTCCTTTCAGGCTTCACGGAGGCCTGCCACCTGGTCCCAAAGTCAGCGCCTCAGGTTGTAGGATTTGTAGCAGCAGCATTCTCCTTTCAGTTGCCAACATCTGTCCTCGTTAGTGATTGCTGCATAATGAACTACTTCAGACTTGGTGGCTTAAAACGTCACCAATCACTTATTTTGCTCGTGAACCTGCTATTTGGGCAGGGGGTGGGAGGGTCAGCTAGGGGGTGGCTGCTGGGGCTGGAGAGTCCCCTTCAAGGACTCCTGTGACTAGCAGGTTGGTCCGTCTATCTGTCTGTTGGTTCTTCCACGTTGGTTCTACCACGTCTGTTGGTAACCTCACTATCGCCAGCTTGGCTTCATCACAACATGGCTGCCGGGTTCTAACAGTGAGTGTCCCAAGAGATAAGACATGGAAGTTTCTTATTTCTTAAGGCCTGGACTCAGAAACTGGCATGCGTCTCTATTAATAGGTGATAAATTACCCCCAAACTTTGTAGCTTGAACAGCAACCATTTATTATATCCCACGGTTTCTGAGGGTTAGGAATCTAGAAGCAGTTTAGCTGGGTGATCCTAGCTCAGGATCTCTCACGAGGTTGCTGTCCAGATACGGGGTGGGGCTGAAGTTCTCTGAAGGCTTGATGGGGCCTGAAAGATCTGCTTCCAAGCTCATTCACTTGGCTGTCGGCAGACGGTCTTGGTTCGTTGCCACGTGGGCCACGCCGTAGGGCGCTCATGACACGGTCACTGATTTCCCCCAGAGCAAGTGATCTGAGAGTGAAAGCAAACAGGACAGAAGACACAGTGCCTGTTGGACCTTAGTTTCCAAACTCGCACAGTCATCTCTGCTTTAGCGACTAGGAGGGAATTGCTAAGTCCAGCCCACACTCAAGGGGAGGGGAGACAGATGCCACCCCAAGGGAGGAGCATTGAAGAATCTGATGGGCACATTTTAAAACCATCACAGCAGCCGTTTTATTTTATTGCTGGAGCAGTCCTGGGGCCCTGGTTCAAGAGAAAGGGACACAGGGGACAGCTGTCAGTGGGAGGGGTGCAGAGAGTTTGGGGGCCATGTTTTACAGTGTGCCACAGTGACTTAAGAGCCCGTAGGAGCCCGTGAACTAAAGACGTGGACAGGTTTTCAGCCACAGGTAATGGCATCAGGCACCTGAGTGCCAGGCCTGGCTCTAGGTACTGAGGGTGCAGCAGTGGACAGGACAAGAACCCTTCCTTCATAAGAATTATGCAGTAGCGTGGAGCGAGATATGCCTGGACTGGATGTGGTGGAAAAACATGGCTGTGTTTGGAGGGGGGAGAGCAGTTGAGATTGACTCCGGTGTAGGGTCAGTACTGTGGTAGGAATAAACTAGTCATCATTGGTTAGGACCTGGCTGTCCAGGGCTCTGTACAGCAGGCTAAGGGTAATCGTATCTAGGAGCAGCGATCATTTATTTTCAAGCAAGGCAAGGACATGATCAAAGCCAGACTTTAGGAAGCCCGGTCTGCAGTGGAGTACATGGTGGGATAGAGGTGGGAATGTCTGGGGCTGGAACTCACTGACTTAACTAAGATGCTCTCAGTGAAAAAGGGAGAAAAGAAGGCTAGTGTATGAAATCTTATACGGATGCTTAGAAGAGCTATGGTGGCATTAATATAGCCCGTTGAATGTGGTATAATATACATTAAGAAAACCTAGAAAGCTTATCATTTCTTTTTAAGTGTAGGTCACATGAGATAAGAACACAGACAACGGTAACACATCAAACGCAACAATCGTCTAGATTTTATTTCACGATATACAGTGGATTCTCCATGGAACTCTCAGCCTACTTCTTCGCTGCCGCTCCTGTGGCTTTCAAAAACTCCAAGGAACCTAGATTTCTCCCCGGTCTTCATTCACCTACACAACTCTTGACTAAACTGTATCTTATTCATCTCTTTTCTTTCCCTTCTCTGTTTCTGCCTTAACTCGTGTGATGTTTGGCAGAGAATAGCTTGGTTGAAAGCACACACCCATCTTTCATCCCTGTGGACAGGTAGGTACTGTTGTCAAGTCCATCCTAGAGAAGGTCATCCCCCCATGTCTGTGCGTAGTGGCTTAGAATGGGGAGCTCGCCGGGGCTGACAGATCTCTTGGTTCTTGAGAGCAGAGGCCACACTGCGTAGCAGATAGAAGCTTTGGCTTTGGAACCTGAGAGGTCTGTGTTCAAGCCCAGCTTAATCGGCACTTGGCTGGGTGACCTTGGGCAAATTATTTCATCTTTTAAAATCTTGCTTCTTCATCTATACAAGGAGGATAACAGTCACACTCTTACCTTAGTGTGCTGTAAGAATTAGATGAGGTGGTGAATTAGACTAATATGGCACACCAGTACACTGATACCTGGATAATAAATGTGTGTGAGCTCCGTGTGCAGGGGCGATATAGATGCTTAACTAGCGTCCAAGTGGGAGGAGGTTTCGTCAGGAGGTGACTGGCTCATGTACCTGCAGCGAAAGGGCTTGTGGTGGCACCTACATCCCTTCTTGCAAAGTGGCTTCGGCCCCAAATGCCTGCACGGTCTCCTGCCCGCTGAACTAGGTGGGGCCGCTCGTTGATGGCGAGCCTTCAGTTTGCCCCTTTGGTTTCCAGCACTGAGTTCAGAAGCCCAGAGCCCTGCTGGTCCCCTCCCCAGGCCAGGAAATTAACCTTAGCCCTGGAGGCCTGGTCAATGTCATGGCTGGATCCCAAGCTCCTGGGCTCGGAGCGTCTCCCTGAGGCCCGGAGCAGGTCTGGTCTGACTGCCCA